ATATGCTGAGTGTATGTTTGGTTGAAAATAAAAGTTTGATGAGGAAATAAATAAAAATTACAGAAGTAACCTTTTTATAAAATTTTGAATGTTACATGTGGTTAAGAAGAGGGGTATTTTTATCTTTATTTTCATCCACTTTTTCAATTTCCCCATCTTTTCAAGAAATATCATGTTGCAAATAGCATTCTTTAACAGTGTAAAAGTTCCTTTTTTAGTGCATTTGTAATTTAGATAAGCAACTCATTTTCATAGGTAAAAATTGTGATTCCATTCAACCAAACGCAGGAAACGAGAATGCAACATCTTCCCTAGATAAATTTTGAGATACTCTGAAACAAACACCCCCTTAGTATTACTTGTTGGATAAAATTACAAAAAATTGAGGATGAAATAATTGTTTTACTATTACCCGTGTTGTTCCGGTATGTATGGAGGATAAAATAAATTTTTTTATTTTCTTTATATAATGGCTTTTTTTTCTGGCAATTGGTCCTTCCCCAGAGAAAATGGATGTAAACTGCTTTGTTATTTTTTTTTAAATAAAAATTATCAGTTAATGTAACCATTATTAACATGGGCTAAATAAATATTAAAAAGCATGGCTATCATATGACTGTCATAAATAGTGACGCCCTTTCTGCCAACGCGTCTGAAAAACGTGGTAAATTTTCGTTTAGCCACGTTTATATAGAATTTAAATAATGTTGTCTCCAATGGTTTGCCCCCTGATTAAAAAATGACATAGTAGTTACTCAAAATAATTCGTAACAATGTTATTAAATCTGAATTGGTCATTGATCCGATTTAGTTACTGAGTAATGGGTTATTAGTTCAATTAATTAAATTAAATTTATGTTAAATTACATGATAAATATATTATAAGATACATTTTAACCCACATTTGAATATAGCCTAAATTAAATTTGTTAAATTATATAATAAATTATATGATAAATATATTAAAAGATACATTTTAACCCACAATTGAATATAGCCTGGTGATAAGTGTTACATTACTCGTTCACATGAAATGGGTTTGATTCCAAACCGTTGTCTTATAATATAATATAATATAATATAATGCAAAAATGTTTTTTTTTTTTTTGGAAATACAAAAATGTTATATGTCCCTTACCTGAACACGATAGCTAATAATTTAAAATTAAGTAGTTAAGAGTTGATATTTGTCGCCTTGATCATTGTGAATGAAAAATTAAATTTTAACATAAGATAAATGAATAAATATTATCCATACTTGAAATTTAAAATTTTAAGGGAATTAATTTATGAAAATATTGTATTTAGATTCCTTTGATAGTTATTAACATAACAATATCATAACATAAAAGTAATTATAGTAAAAAATTTAATTATTTATATAAAATTTAATTATTTATTTATGTCTTTCTTTCTCTTAAAATGGTATTGTCATGTTAATGTGCACACTAGGAAAGATATTCTCATGTGAAAGAAACCTGGTTAAATAATTAAAAGGTAAAGGTTATGATAATTGGTTAAAATAAGTTGTCTAAAGCAGCCCATATGTAAAACGTGAAAAGAAAAAAAAAACACGAGCAAATATCAATTATAATGATTGGTAAAACAAATTGGTCAACTTATGCGGGTTGAATATGAAAAAAAAAATATATATATATATATATATATATATATTTTTTTTTTTTCATATTCAACCAAGACCAAGTACATCGTTGAATCAGTCACCTTAACCTCTTATTGGGCAGAAAATGTCAACTAACTGATAAAAAAGGGTAATACTCCTTAGTATTCCACAACCTACTAGTTTCCAATTATGAGGTTCAATCAAAGTGCGCGTTGGTCTTCACAGATAGTCTTACACCTCTTTAAGGATAGTTGTTACTGCTCAAAGCGGCTATGTTGTTGACACATATATATATATATATATATATATATATATATATATATATATATATATATATATATATATATACTTTAAAAATGGATCCTCTCATGTGAAAAATGATTATGTGATTATGTTATTTAATCACAATCACTTATTTAAAAATTATACATTTTTCTCTTTCTTATTTTATCATCAATGAATGACTGTGATTAAATAATATGATCACATGACCACTTTTTCACATGAAAGAATCCATTCTCATATACTTTATAGACGTCACACAACAATAGTTATCATCTTCCTTTATTTTATTCTTTTTTAAGGTCAACAGAAAAAGTTGAGCTTAATACATTTATTTTATGAAAAAAGTTATGTCATTTTAAGAGAGAGGAAGAGATAGATAAAGGAGGAGAGAGAGTTGACAAAAAAATAAAGGTGTGGGTCTCGTCTCTTTGTGAGAGTGAAATGATATAAGTTGTGTCATTTAAAAGGATAAACATTTTTTTCTTATTTTATTCAAATAAATTGACAAAATATGTTGTCTAAATTAGTAAATTTTAATTTTAATTTTTTCAGTCCAACTTAATTTATTTTTCATTTGAACAAAAACAAATTGCGTAAATTTCTTAAATAACATTGGTTTAAATCTTTAAAAAATTTGGGAAGCTAGTGGGCTAGTTTGCCCAACCCACATTCATCACCATTGAGTTGAATTAGGCTAACATAAAATATTGGCCCAAAACATATCTAGTCTAACTTGCCCACTAAAAAATGGCTCAGTCCAAAATGATTCCCACACATTTTCTTCTTCTTCTTTTCCTTTTGCATCAACCGTTTCCATCATCGACGAAAAAAACTGGTTAGGTATTGGAATCTCCTTTATAACTAAAAAGATTAACTTTTCTAACATGAGCGTTTATAAAAGAGAACTATCAAGTAGCACATTGAAATAACAAAATGATCATAATAAATTCATTAATAATATCCGATAATATATATTTATACGTTTTAAAATACGCAAATTTAGCTAATAAATATGTATGCTACGTAGCGATGGGGCTCGGCATCAACTCTATTTGATGGTAACTCATTTCAATCAAAAAAGTTTTTTTTTTGAAAATATTCCAATCAGTTCATTGTTTTGCAACTAATCTGATTCGGGGCGGATCCAGAATTAAGACTTTAAACTCCTCCCCAAATATGATACTGAGAAGATTCGAATACATGCTCTCACCCCAGCTGCTTAGCTTCCATGCATCAACTCTACCAAAAAGTTAAGTACATTAATAAATGAATGATGCAAATTGCAACAAAAACAAAATCATATTGTCACTTAAAAAGCAAGACTGGTATTAGAAGTATCTTGATTGAACTTGCTACATGCCCTCCGCAAGTGAGGTTAAAGCTCTTCAATTTGATTGGCACTTGAGTGCAATTTTAGAAGCAAAGAAGACAGGGATCGATAGAAGAAAACCATTGGTCCCACCAAATTAAATATCCATTGAAGGATAATTATAGCATATATATCTTCAATTGAGATTGAAGCTTGGGCCCATCAAGGCTTCAAATTCATATTTTTCAAGCATGACGTCTCGCGTGCGAATTTGCACATAGTTGATTATAGCAGATTTATAATTTATGGTGATTTCAATTTCTTTGGCTTTTTGGGTTATGGCTAATAGATAAGAAAAATTATTTCCCGTTGTATTAATTCCTCTAGTTGAGATCATTGAGAGTGATTTGTATATGGTATAATATACATAGGTGATTTAGGGTGCGTGTTTGGCAAAGCTTAGTTTTTCAGGAATAATTTTAATTTTAATTTTTAAAGTCGTTTGTAAGGTTTTGATTAAAACTCTTTCAAATATAATATAAGTAAATTCAAATACAAACAATTAAAATTTATATTCAGAATAAAAAAGCTTTACGAAAGTCCACTGAAGGAGGAGGAGTAACTTTGCTTCCTTAAATTGATGAGTGTCCTTGTTAGATTTGAATGGGTCCTAATCAAATATGCCCATCCGCTAATAATGCTTTCTTCACTGAAAAAAACAAAAAACGTAGTATTTATTTTAAGTTTTGGTTTTCGTAGGTAAGAAATTATATTACTTTCCGTTTGGATATTTCAACATCTACGGCCCATTTCCATCATCTTACGCTATTAGATACTTTAACTAACTACTATTAATCAATTTTAACAAATAAATGCAACTATTTCAGGATCAAATTTTTTATTATCAATATAACATATCTGCATGTATTAATTTTTAATAATCTCAAATGCACAACTATTTCAAAAGTAATGTCATTTGTTCATGTAGAAAAAAAAAAAAAAAACTTCTTGTTTGGAAATTGAGATACTGAAATATAAGTAACCTTTATATTTCATCGCTTCCACATTCCAATATACAATACTGAAAGGTAAGTTATTCACTACTTTTATATAAGAAAAAGGCTATTTACTATTTAAGCATAATACATCCAGGTCAAGTTTTAATTGTCTAAATTTTTTTTTATATTATCATCAATAATATGTATATCATAAGAAATTTTCCTTTAAGTTTTTATTATTATAATCAAATTTTTGTAATAATATGACAGCTTATATATGATCTGATAATAATATTAAAAAAAATTAATTAATAATATATCACTATTAATAAACCTTATATGTGATGAATTAAGACGTTGTAGTTGCAACCTAAAATGTAGCAATTACAAGAAAAAACGTGATTAAGGTATTATATACATGTCCTCCAAAACATAAACCAACCGGATAAAGGTAGCACACCAAATTGAAATGACAAATTAACAGCACATATTTCATCAACAAAAGTGAGAATCTTGTAACCCACATATCATTCACATATATATATATATTGAATGCCCAATCACTTAGAATAAATGGTTGTTTGAAAAAGCTTAAACACTTGAATTGATTAATTGATAAATTAAAAGTAATGGAAGCAAATGAAGTAAAATATCAATCGAACCATTGTCTATACATACCACGAAACTTATACAACCAAATTCGATCCTCAAAGCTCCAAATTTTAATATTTTTTTACAATTTTCTCCAATATATATATATATATGTTCTTTTACAATAGTCTTTTCAACCCCACATACATAATCATACCCTGATCACAAAGGAATTCATTATGAGCCAATTTAAAACCATGATGTTTACATGCAGCTTCTTCCCACGTGTGAATTCAATGCTTTCACATGACACACACACGTGTATGGACTAAGCCTAGGATGGATCCATTGGCATATTCACTGATTCTTTCGAACGATGATGTTGCGGTTCCCTGTGAGATGGAGATGGAGATGGAGATGGAGATGGAGATGGAGATGTTTCAGTAGCAGAAGGTGTAGTACTAACCTTGTCAGGGAAAGCTTCTTCACAGATATCATTGAAGGCTTTAACAATGACATGATGGTGACAAAGAGCATTCAGATGAAGAAAGCATTGTAGAAGATCTTGAAGATCATCTTCTGAGTCAATCTCCTTCTCAAAGATCATTTGAAGCATTGAGTGCTTGAAATCATGATATGGATCCGCAGAGTCCTTCACAAAGGCCATGCTATCCATGAGAGGGCTTCGTTTTGGTTCAACATTACTACTGTTCTTGGGGCTCTTGTTATGGTCATGATCATGACTAGTTTCATCAGCTTCAGAGATTGTGGTGGAGGTGAAGGTGAAGTCTTCATCATTACCATTATTATTGTGTTCCCCTGAAGTTGTGGTTGAAGAAGCCATGGTGTTGAGGTTTGTCTTTTTGTGAATGGAGATTTTGGGTTTGGGGATTGGTTCATGTACTTCAAAGGCCTTTGTTTTGCCACAGCCACAGCTTCCATTTGATGTGAAAACGGTTCTCAAAAGTCCTTTCTTGTTGGAAGACATTAACCTAATAAATTAGTATTCACACTCTCACCTCACACACAAAATAGATATAATATTTATAGAGAGAAATTAAGAAAAAAGAGAGAGAGGACACTGATTTTGCTTCTTCTTCTTCTTTTTTTGTTATGAGAATCAAAAGTACAACAAAGTGTAGCTAGATGGTGGTATTGTTGGTAGGATTCCTTTTCAAACTAACTTTGTGGTGAGCTTTGAGGTGCAAACACAAAAAAAGAGAGGATAAAGTGAAATTAATGTGAGTTGGAGAAGAAGGTGGGATTGAAGATTGGAGACTCTTTTGGAAATGTTTGGTGAATAAAAAGGGTTGGAGTTTAGAGGGAGGGGTTTTATTAAGGTATTTGACTTGACGTAGGAGTATAAATCATTTGATCATTTGATCAATCTTCGGGAAGAAAATAGATAAATCCATCATTGGATCGATTTAATTTGTTTTCAATAACGTAAGTATGAAATTAATTTTCATATGATTAAATATTTTTATTTGGTCAATCAACACCGTTTTAGTTAATTCCGTATGACGATAACACATCAACAAAACAGAGAACTCTTTAAACTTTCAAAAGACTAATTTGTTGTCCCTACGTTATTTAATTTACAACAAACTTCTTGCGTAATAATAATACGAAAATTACCTTCAACTAAAAAGGAAGCTTCTTTTGTTTATAAAGTTGGCTTCCAAGGAAACAAACTATATATATACTCTGCCGTTACTAATATCATTACTTTTTTTTGTAGCACCGTTAAAGCAGATAAAATGCTACTTGACATTTTTTTTTTTTTTTTGAAAAGTGCTACTTGACATTTATTCAACTACTTGCTACTCGCTGCTACAATTGTTGCTATACTTTTTAAACACTATATTTTATATTTTCCGCCGGTTATAATTTATTACTAGATACAGAAATAGCTAATTGTTTCTTCTAGTCCCTTTGTATTGCTAAAAAACTTGAGTTGGATATTTTGATTCACAATTCATTTACACATTGTTAAAACAATGATACGGTACCCATATATAGTATAGTCAAATTTAAAAAATTAAATTAAATTAAATCTTAACTTTTCATCTTGTCTTCTTTTCTCGGTTTGCTTTATTTATTTAGCAGAGAAATACTAGGTCTTGCCGTCTAGCCAGCAACTAGCTTTGAGTTTGATATGACATTAAAGTCTCTCCACGTACAGTATTCAAATTATTAATTATGTGTTAGCATCTTGCTTATAGATTATGCCATCAGGGCTTAAAGTATTACATCATAAGTTTAATATTATATGGTGTACCTTTAATATTGGGATAGTATTCGACCACATTATATATTGTGCTATTTGGAAATGCAATTTTAAACCATCTGAAGCATCGTACATTCGTACAAGGAACATTAAAAACAAATTAAGCTCCAACACGACTAAGCCACCAACTTTCTCTTGCATGTTAAGCCTTACATTTAACCCGTTGTAGCAAACCCACCAAATGCACTCTGTAATGGCATCATTGGCCTCTGTGAGGTATCAGATTTGAGAGAAGAAGAAAAGGGAAAATTGTAATCTATTATTGAAAATGAAAGTTAACTTACATATAGGTGTGTAACTCTAGCATATATACTCTTAGCCTAGATAAATCACAGACATACATTAATAACTGAATGATCTCAACCATTCAGTACTAACAGCCTAACTAACAGACTAACTCACTAACAGTACAAACAGACTAGCTGAGTGATGTTGGGCTGGGCCTCAGGGCCTCTATAGCCTTCATTCCCCCGCAAGCTGAAGAGGGCTTGGACTTGGAGTCCAGCACGCGAAGCTTGGACTTAAACGTAAGAAAAGAGACTTGAGACACAGCCTTGGTAAGGCCATCAGCGATTTGGTCAACGGCTGGAACATGGTGCACTGACATAGCCTTGCTGAGCACCTTCTCCCTGACGAAGTGGAGATCCAGCTCGAAGTGCTTGGTCCGAGAGTGGAAAATGGGGTTCGCTGTGAGGAGAACAGCAGAGAGGTTATCACAGTAGATAACCGGAGATCTTGGGAGGCAGATGCGAAGTTCGGAGAGAAGGGACTGGATCCAAGTAAGCTCAGCGACGGTAGCAGCAAGACAACGATATTCCGCCTCAGTGCTCGAGCGGCTGACCACATGCTGCTTCTTAGAAGACCATGTGACAAGATTTGAACCCAAGAAGACACAGAACCCACTTGTGGAACGCCGGTCATCAAGATCCGAGCCCCAATCAGAGTCACAATAGGCAGCCAGGTGAAAATTTGATGATGGGTTGATGGTTAACCCATGAGAAATCGTCCCACTCAGGTAACGTAGTATCCTTTTAACAGCCTTCCAATGAGTATCCAAAGGAACATGCATAAACTGACAGACTTTATTGACACTGAATGTGATTTCAGGACGAGTAATGGTGGCATATTGAAGAGCCCCAACAATAGATCGATACTGAGATGGGTCAGGATGTGGAGATCCATCACGAGAGGAGAGCTTGGCACTGGACATCATAGGAGTCGGCATAGACTTGCAGTTCTCCATGTTAGCTTTCTTAAGAAGGTCCAGAATGTACTTGGATTGGTGAAGATGCAGACCACCAGATGCAGACTTGGTGACTTCAATACCCAGAAAATAGTGAAGGTGACCAAGATCCTTGAGAGCAAAAGCATCATTGAGAGAGTGAATTAGCGACTGAATAGCAGAGGAGGATGAACCAGTGACAAGGATGTCATCAACATAGACTAGGACATATAGAGTAGCAGTAGGGGTAATGGAGATGAATAGGGAAATGTCACATTTGGCAGTGACAAAACCCAGTCTGTGTAGGGTGCCACTGAGTTTGTCAAACCAGGCACGTGGTGCCTGTTTGAGGCCATATAGGGCCTTAGTTAACTTGCACACCAAGGTTTTATCTTTATGAATGAAACCTGGAGGTTGTTGCATGTATACTTCTTCCTGAAGATCACCATTCAGGAAGGCATTGTTCACATCCAGCTGGTGAACAAGCCATTTTCTAGAGAGAGCAGCAGTGAGGACAATCCGAATGGTAGCAGGTTTCACCACAGGACTAAAGGTTTCCTGATAATCAAAACCTTCTTGTTGGTGAAACCCCTTAGCCACTAGCCTGGCTTTATATTTTAGGATGCTGCCATCAGGATGAAATTTGGTGCGAAATACACATTTACAGCCTATTGGAGACCTATCTGAAGGCATAGGAACCAGTTTCCAAGTATTATTTTTGAGTAAGGCTGCATACTCCTCTTGCATTGCCTTATACCAGTGGGGTGCAGCTATAGCCTGAGATACAGAAGTAGGTTCCAAAGAGGCTAAGTATGCCTTTGGCTTAAAGATGCCAGCTTTGGCTCGAGTAAGCATAGGATGAGTTGGAGGTGCCACAGGAACTTGTAGGTGGAGCAGACCTGCAACCGTTGCCAGATAACATAGAGGATCTGCAAGTAGGATTAGATGTGCTAACAGAAAAATCATTAATAGAATCACTCATTAAAGAATTAGGAGAGGTAGAGGGGTGAGTAATAGGAGCTATGATTGGGACAGGACAAGGAACAGTTACATTGTGTGGACTGGTATTAGTAGGCAGGATAGGGATAGCAGGAGTAGAGAGAAAAGTGGGTGACTCACTGTTTGAGAGTGTAGGAGAAACTGAGGATTGAAGAAAAGGGAATTGAGACTCATCAAAGAGAACATGTCGTGCAAAAATGACCTGACCAGTTGGTTTTAAACATTTGTAACCCTTTTGATTTGTACAGTAGCCAATAAAGGTGCATTTTTCTGATCTAAAATCAATTTTGTGCCTATTATAGGGTCTGAGGTAGGGATAGCATGCACAACCATAGGTTTTAAGAAATGAGTAATCAGGTGTTTTGTGAAACAGGGTTTCAAATGGAGACTTGTTATTTAGGTTGGGGGTGGGTAAAAGGTTAATAACGTGTGCAGCAGAAAGAAAGGCATCAGCCCAGTATTTGGTTGGTAAGTGGGATTGAGCTAAGAGAGCTAGGCCAGTTTCTACAACATGTCTATGCTTTCTTTCGGGTTGGCCATTTTGTTGATGAGTGTAGGGACATGTAAGACGATGGATAACACCTTGTTGTTGTAGATAGGGAGTGAATTTAAGGAATTCTCTGCCATTATCACTTTGGAGAGATTTTATTTTAGTATTAAGATGTAATTCAACCATAGTTTTGAACTGAATGAAAATATTGTAAGCTTGGGATTTGTTTGTCATAGGGTAAAGCCAAGTATATTTGGAAAATGCATCTACAAACAGGATGTAGTAACGAGCACCTAAAGTGCTTTCAATAGGTGCTGGACCCCAAATGTCAGTAAGGACAAGTTCCAAGGGACTGGAGTAAACTGTGTTAGTGGTTGGTAAGTGAAGTTGGTGCATTTTGGCCATACAACAAGCACAACATAATTGGGAATCAGCTTTATTGACAAATGGTATGTTACAATGTTTAAGAACCAACTTGACAGTTTGAAAAGAGGCATGAGCTAATCTCGAATGCCATAGATCTAAAGTAGAAACTTTAGAGGTATTATTACAAGATAGGATAGGTTTAGCTACAGAAAATGTAGGAACACAAGGTGGAGGTGAACTTGAAGTAGCTGCAGTAGAAAACCTTGAAGGCTTCTGTGCTCCATCAAAAGCATATAGACCATTCTTAAGGTTGCCTTGGAGAAGGATCTCCTTGGTAGCCTGAGATTTGACATAGCAGGTGTTAGAATGAAATTCAAAAAATACTTGATGTTCCTTTGCAAACTGTGAAACACTTAACAGGTTTTTGGACATACCAGGAACATGCAGAAGATTTGACAGTGTAAAGGATTTTGAACTAAAAGGTGAGTATAGAATTGAGTGACCTATGTGTTTGATTTTTAGGTTAGATCCATTACCTACTTGAACAGCATCCTGACCAGTGTATGTGGTTCTCTGCAACAGGTTGGAGGATTCTGGTGTGAAGTGATTTGTGGCTCCAGAATCTGGATACCAGCTAGAGTCAGTGAGGGAAAAATAATCAGAGGTGTCATCTTCTTGCTGCCTTGCAGCATTGTTGCTGTTAGTTACTGCCATATTGGCTTGCAGATTAGAGGAAGTATTCTGTTTCAGTGAGCTTTGGTAGCTTTGGTTGAACCTGTGATGACAATCAAGAGCTAAGTGGCCAAACCTGCCACAAACTTGGCATTGAGGTCTATTGTAGCCTCCACTACCATTGTACCTTCCTCCTCTTCCTCTGTAAGGTTGGTAATTTCCTCTGTAAGGTTGGTAATTTCCTCCACTGCCATGGAATCTGCCTCTATTTGAATTGAATCCTCCTCTACTAAAATTGGAGTTGTTGTTCTGTCTTCTGACCTGTAGCTGAGCCATATTAGCTTGAAGATTTGTGGAAAGATTCCTTCTATGTTTTTCCAGTCGTTGCTCTTGAGCCATCAACAAGGCTTCAATCTCACCAACAGTGTAAGGATCCGAACGTGAGATAACTGATGTTACAAAAGCATCATAATCTTCATTTAGTCCATCAAGTATCGCATCTATATGATCTTCACAATCAACAGGTGAACCACATGCTGCCAAAGAGTCCACTGTTTTCTTGATTGTGAGAAGGTACTTTGACACATCACCTTCCTTCTTTATGTTCTTTAACTGCACTTTCAGTTGCTTAATCTTTGCTCTCGTTTGAGACATGAAAAATTCTTCAAGTTTCTGCCAAACTTGGAAAGAGCTGGAACAACCAACTACACGCATGTAGATTGACTCAGACATGGACGATAGTAACCAAGAAAGGATCAACTGATCTTGTTGAGCAGTGACAGCAGCTGTCTGCGTATTTGTGACCTGTGTAGCATGAGGTGCACCATTGCCAACACTTTCTGCACCTTCTTCAGCAGAGGTTCTTGCAACAGGTACTGAATCTTGAACTTCTTGAGTTATGAACTTGATCAAATCATAACCTTTGATTGTAGCTAATGCTTGTTGTTTCCATGGCAGGAAATTGTCTTCATCTAGCTTAAAGGAGACTGGATTGGAGAATGTATGGACAGAGTTTTGCACAGCACGATTTGGCTCCATGGATCAGATCTAGCTCTGATACCATGTGAGGTATCAGATTTGAGAGAAGAAGAAAAGGGAAAATTGTAATCTATTATTGAAAATGAAAGTTAACTTACATATAGGTGTGTAACTCTAGCATATATACTCTTAGCCTAGATAAATCACAGCCATACATTAATAACTGAATGATCTCAACCATTCAGTACTAACAGCCTAACTAACAGACTAACTCACTAACAGTACAAACAGACTAGCTGAGTGATGTTGGGCTGGGCCTCAGGGCCTCTATAGCCTTCAGCCTCTCAGATTTCAGAACACGCACATAGAGGAACCTATAATAATTTTTACAGCAATAAGAAGATATCAGTTTTTTGTTTTTAAAAAAAATTAAAGGGGTAAAATTAAAAAAAATAATTATTATGCATAACAATAAAAGCAGCTGAGAAGGCCGTGTGACACATTAGTCACTATATAGTTTGCTTAGTTATAAAATTACATGAGGTCTAAAACTTGATGTAAGACAAAGAAAGGTAAATTAAAGGCATATCGGTTTAAATAAGACATAAAGCAATCCCTTAAAAATATATTAAGCTCATGAGCTGTTGACTTTAGATCCAGAAAATTTTCTTTATGTCTATACATTTAGGGTGGGGGTTTGGGGGCGTTGCCCCCGATTTTTATTTTTTTAAAGATCGTGATCATGATCTAATTTTTGCTTCCACTTCAAAAGTAAAGCTTTGGTGAATCAACCAAAGTTTTAAGAAAATAATCAATAATGATAATTTAAAAAAAATAAACACCACAAAAAGATATTTATAAAATATAGTATAATTATAAGGGTTAATCGATCAAAAACTCACCTTTGTTGATGTTTATTTGATCCAAAGTTAACCACTTTTGTTTCACAAAAAAGTCAAAAATCCCATACGATTCTCATCCACTTGATAAAGATTGAATTTCAGGAATCGTTGATGTCTATTAAGATTTGGAGCTAATAAAATTTATGTAAAAAAGAGAGAGAAAGACAAAGCAACATGGTAGGATTTAAGCTTTTAAGTTTTTAAGTGTAGGGGTTGGTTGGGTTGGGCATATATTTACCTTTTTTTCTTTCAATCTTTCTATTTTTTTTATTTTTTATTTTACTTGACTTGAATCACACATTTCATGTAAAAAAAATTTTCCACTCAAGTTTGTGTCTGTAAGTGCAGACATCTGCAACCATTTGGGTCCGCTATTATATATATTAAGGATTCTTTTTTTTCATATTACTGAAGAATTTTTTCTTCTATTAATAAAACATCGAACTGTGTGCCACAGTTTTTTTTTAATAAATAGTGAGATCCACCACATCTTGTATTTATAGTAAAAGAAAGAATTCTCTTGTATCATCAGAATTCTTTTCGCCATATATTAATACATTGCATATATGGCTTAAGTTCTTCGGAAGAAGATGTGGCGTGATGGTCCAAATGGTGTAGATGTAATTTGCTAACCTGAGTCATGTGTTTATTTGCTGTGACACAAATGGCAGTCTTATCTAAATCAACTGGATTCCATCATAGGCACTAATCGATGTGCCCTTCTTCCTCTTCAGTCCTTTTATTTTTTAGATTTTTCAATGTATTATGAGTATAATACACTAAAATAAGGCCAAGTCTTATATAGGACCCCCATGCATAGAGAACGTCTAGATATGTGCAGTCTACCCAAATCAATTTATGCAAAAAACGTGTCCTTGAAATTTTAAATTAATTAAACATGTAGGTAGTAAGAATCAATCACACTTTAATTATTTGGTGGAAAACGCTTCAATATTGGGCTAAGATATTAATACTTTTTTACTTCTTTTATTGTATAAACTATCATTACACACTCAATATAATTAAGAAAGCAACAGTATGATCACTTTAACGTTTAAACAAAAATTAAATCGGTACGGGATATAAAATGAAAAAAAAAATGAAATTGAGAGAAAATTAGTAAATTGTTGTTGTGTGTTTGGTTGAATGGTAAATATTTTTACTGTGAAGTCATTACAAATAAATTTATAAAGAAGGGTGTAAATAAATTTGTAAGATAACTTCAGTTAAAAATGTAGTATCTGGTTATGTGTATGAAAAATACTTTATTGGTAGAGATAAAATCCATTTCGGTGATCTCTATGCCTCAAAAGGATTAGTCTTCGACGGTCGGCCGGAGAATACCTTAAGGAAACTAAAAAAAAAAAAAATACAATGCCTTAGCCACAAAAATAAATAAATAAATAAAAACCTTTATTGTGAAAATATAAATCTAAGATCAAATTATCTTTTCTCTCGATGTGTAACTAGCATGTATAGTTGTACATTATGCATAATATGGTACAAGAATTGATTTTCCCGTTGGTTCTATACATCTGACAAAGCGAATGGACTAAGAAGAAAGAACCAATGTCTATATAATAAAAATTGTTGATATACAAAAAATAATATAAGAAAATGAAGTAATTGTTGTGCTGGTTGTGCTGGTATTGCTATATGTCCCTTCCCATGACAATAAATTTCAAGGCACAAGCCTTGGCTGCATCTCATTATTGGGCTTATTTTGTGAGCCCATTGCAATGGACCAAGAGGACTTTCCCATTGTTACATGTGAGTGGGGTGTGAACAACGAAACTAATTATAAACCTGATATTTTGTCCCGTTAGTATCGTATAATATCTTATTTCTTTGTTGGCTCAAGTGAGCGCACAGAAAACTTTGTGTGTCTCTTAGATTTTCTATCTTTTTCTGTTTACAATTTTGATCATCAAAGAACATATGCTTTGAGTATTAGGTACAAGACAGTAAAAAACAATGACAACATTTCTGCTACTCCCATCACCACCTTCTTGTGCTTCTTTACTGAGCAAGGAGACTAATAGATTTTGCAATCATGCTTCATTTCACTCACACAAATCCCATGTAAAGGGTTTCAGAGTTAGAGCTCTTAGAGAGAAAACAGAGGAAATCAAAAGCCCTTCACAACCATCTTCAGCTGAGGAAGTTACAAAGAAGTATGGCCTTGAAGCTGGTCTATGGAAGGTGCCCATTTCTTTCTCTCATCTACTTTGGCTTATCTAGGAGTATGTGGTTGATAAAATTTTCCAATTTTATTAATCAAAGGGTTCTTATTTTTTGGGTGGTTTCCTGTTTATGTGTAATTGCTAGTAAGCTACCACTTTTACTTGGCTTAAATTTGGATTGAGCTTAGACTTAGAGAAAGTCAAAAGTATGCTCGAAGGGTATCCCAGGATATTACTATTTTGGTTGCTGAAATTTTTAGGGAAAGAAAATAGAAACCTTGAAAAAATTCTGTCGAACCAGTGAGGGAAAAATGACTAGTTTTGCTTGTAAAAAAGAATTCGGGTTGCTTCCTTGTTGCCTTTACTACAAAAGATGTGCCACTTGATCAAAGTTTTATTTTTGAAGTCATCTGCTTATGTGTTTATCCCTGAATTGTAGGTTTTCTTTCCATTTCTTCCTTTAGCCTCCTTTTCCCCCCAATTTCGGGGGAGCAAATGATGGGTTTTTTTTATCTTCAAGGAATAGTTAGTAGGTAATCAGTACATTTTTTTTACTCTATCTAAAATTAAAATTGTGTTCAAGGTTCAAATCCTGTAAATAGCCTCTTTATAATTATATAAGGCTGCATACAACATTGTCCTCTTCCTACCTTTGCTAATTTTAACGAGGAGTGATTTATCTAAATGAAAATTGTGGTCTTTTGCAGATTTTCAGCTCAAAGGAGGAAGAAAATGGTAATTCTGAACAACAGAAATCAAAGGGTGATCAAGCCAAGGAATTGCTAGCAAAATATGGAGGAGCATACCTGGCCACCTCCATTACTCTGTCATTAATCTCTTTCACTCTTTGTTATGTACTAATTGGCGCCGGAATTGATGTCCAAGCTTTGCTACAGAAGGTGCAACGCTTAAACAAAGCCTAGTGTAGATTGCAATCTAATCTAAAACAAACTGATCTAAAACCTAATGTTTATTATCTTCAGGTAGGAATCTCAGCTGATGCGACCGGCGAAAAAGTTGGTACCTTTGCTTTGGCATATGCTGCGCATAAAGCTGCATCTCCAATTAGGTTTCCTCCCACAGTAGCTCTTACCCCAATTGTGGCAGGTTGGATTGGAAAGAAAGCTGATAAAGATAAGTAGCTTGTAGTGGTACCTTCCAATACCAAACAAGGCTTTATTGTAATATGCTTCTTCTAATATTTTCAATTCCGTTGGCAGATGAACATTTGTCTTTTACACTAATGGGCATGTACATCCTCTTTTTATTCTGAACAATAATGAAAATTATGCACAATAATAAACAATCTATATCCAACGAATGTCCGTCACTAATCTTGCTATAATTTCCATTTCCGCTCCATACTAGAATTGCTACTGTTCAATAGTGAATTACTGTTTATTTTCAGTAATATTGGAATATCAAGAAAGCGGAACAGATAGAAACAAGGTAACAAGATGACCCTAGGATCTTGGATGAAACTTATCATTTCACCAACAATATTAGGGATTGCGCACATTGGAACCATTCAAATGAACGGATTGCGATAAGTGATAACACAGCCTGAGACTCAGCATAATTCTATTACAATTTGCATTCCGAAGCGTATTTTTATTCCTTGCCAAACATAGACAACGAGCTAAGTGCTTTAGAAAGCCAAGGCTTACAATATACAAAGATGGGTTAAGCAAAGCCGCAATATTTTTTTCTTGAACAAGGTCGCTTGGATTATGTAATATTAACTGTACAATGTGCCAATGACTGGCCCCTCAGTTCCTCGGACGAGCTTCCTGTAGAAACATTGAGAAAGCATCTTCATGGAGCCTTCAATCCAACCTCGGGGACTGAGAGGATACAAGAGGGAGATGGCTGGATGTCATAGGTTCTTAGTGGGAAAGGAACACTACTTTCCCTATGAATTCGCAATATATCCTTTAGAAGCTTCAACCTCCAGCAGGCTTAGATGCAGCAGACACCTCACCTGCGTTTGAAGGATGAATTGGTGTTGTAGTGTGCTCATGAGTCATACAATAATCTTCTTGAAGTGTATCCAGTTCATTCCATTCAACACCAGCTGTAAAAGCACCAAGGAAATTTCAAAACATCACAAAGCTCAGATTTCTTGTTCTTCTATTTTTAAAAAACATGGAACTTCCATACCCCCACGGGATGGTGTGTGAGCATGTGTGTGTGTGTATCATGCGAAATGAAATGGAGGCTAAGGTGTCCAGAGAGGATACGTTCTGTTCTCCACATGTCAGTTATGCTAACATCGGCATCTGATAAAAGCCAGTAATCAGCATTACACTGCAAAGAGAGGGGGGAAAAAACTTCAAATGAGCTCCAAGACTTTTGCTTTCATTTCTTAAATCAGAATCAATATTAACAACTTCATGCCTCCAACAATGAAAGATGCAATAATTTGTACCCAAAAAAATATAAAGAAAACACGCAATATTTGCATACAATTTTGAAAAATAACATCCTACAACTTTTGAAACTTTGTTGCCATGATAAGATACACTCTTTCCTCACAATTTGTAATAATATATGTATTCTCGTCTCAATTGTTCTTTGCAAATCCATAAAACTAAAATCTCACAGACTGAGGTGATACTTACAGCAACATCTGAAGGAACAATCTTCATGATCCCACTTACAAAGTCCTGAGAGGAAGTAAAATCTGAACTAGGCCCATGACCATCTTGTCCGTGCACCTCTATGTCCTTTCCTGTATCCTCTGGGGCTACTGCTGATTGATGCTTGTTAAGTTCTGGACTGGGTGGAAATTTGGGTGCAACATCAACACCATTAATCTCCTCAAACTTTTCTTCAAATTGACTAGAATGACAGAGAGAAAAGGGAGATCAGGAGTGTCAATTTTATTACATGTTGCAATTGTCAAGCATCATTTCTTCATCTGGCATTGTCATCAGACCATGCTATTGCAATAACAAAGTGATCCTTGAGGTAAACGATTTTCGAACCACCAAAAAAGGTAAGCATACCTAACAAGGTAAACATCTATTGGGCCCATTGTGCTTCTCAGGACTATCCTGTATCTCCTCTGGGGATAATCAACAGCCTAACAGAACATGGGGAATTTCCATTGAGAAAGATGCATTTGATATTAGTAACTTCTAAGTAACTCTACACACCCTCTCAAAATACCTCATCAGGATCAGGGACCTCCAAAGTGGTGCCATGTGGAGCTTTAATTGCTATTAAGGTTTCATTCTGGCATTTAAAAAAAAAAAAAAGATCAGTTACAATCCACAATATTATATTATAAGATGCAAAGAAAACATAGACTCACCATATAAAAATATTTATTAAAATGCATAGATAAAGACACTAACCTGGAAGCAAGGCAAGTTCTTTATATCTTCCTCAGTGACAAAAAGCAACCTATGAAGGTGGAAATAGATTCAAGAAAAACACATCAAATAAAGTTATGAACATAAAAATGTGGCAAAATGACCAAAATATGGATAAAGGTAACACAAATATTACTTCTCATTGTTTTCGTCTTCACTAAGATTCCGTAGTTTTTCTTGCATCTCCCTGCAATAATTAGAAAAATTGAATCAATTAATAGATAAACACAAACAATGCAATTAATCAGTAAAGAAGAATCAGCAAAGGCATGGCACCCAAACCTTATTTGTTCATCTAACCGGCGCTCCTCCATTGTAAGATTTTCAACTTCTGCCTGCAGATGAGAAACATAAATAAATCAAATGGCAACAAATTTCGGGAATTAATATTTCCTTTGAAGTCTTGTATATGCAATAAATTATATAAACCTGAATGCAATCCCTATACCCATTGCAAAGCAAATTACATGATTACTGAAATTCAAGTCAGGATGACCACACATTTATTTCAGCCAAAACAATAAAAAATCTGTTTCATAAGCTGCCTCACTTAACATAGAAAAGGAAAGTTCTTGACTATAATCATAAACTGAATCTATCTCAGTGTTTATATCTTCCAAAGAAAACTATCTCCGTGTGAATTCTAAGCAGAAAATCGAATCATTCCTAACCTGTAAGTTAGCAAAACTATCATCAGCCTCCCCTGGCCTGGAAACATCCAGTCCCCTGACCAATCATCAAAGGAGTTGGTAAAAAAGTTTCAACAATTTGGATAACAAATATGACAACAATGACAGAGGCATAGAAAGCATTCCTACTTCCATTGAATTCTGTTCTTTAGCTTCTTTTCTATAAGGCCAATCCCTTCAAGAACATTTGTTATATCGTATATCCTCCTCTTTTGCACCTGTAGATACAAAAGCATCATTAAGTAATCCAACTTTAAAGCATGGAATCATTAGACCAGAAGAAAATATATTAACCTCTAGTGTGTCAGCAGCTTTATTCAGATCAAGAATACCATCCTCTGCTTGTTTGATCAAATTGATGAACTTCTTTGTCAACAGACCTTTTTAAAAAAAAAAAAAAAAAAAAAAGGAGAGAGAGAGAAAAGATATATAGGATAATTAAAAGAATGTATAAAGAGACTTTATTTCATCAGTATAACATATAAAGAGGTTAAATTACACTTTACCACCCACTAGTTCAACCATTTTTCAAATAAACCCATTTAACTTTTTTTGTCACTTAACCCCCCTCCCAAACTTTGGTTTAACTTGAAAATGTTAACTTCTCAGTTAACTTTAAAGGCAATTTAACATTTTCTCAACCTACCCACCTAAATTTTATTCTTTCAGGGGGTAATGTGTAAAATAAACAGTAACTTTAGGGTGGCATGTTGAGAAGAAGTTAAAGTACAGGAGGTGATGCGTAAAATAAAATAATAAATAATAAATGAAGTTAAAAGTTAATTGAAAAATTAATGTTTTCAACTTAAGCCAAAGTTTTTTTCTTTATAGAATCAACTTAAACCAAAGTTGAGGGAGGTTAAGTGACACCAAAAAAAAGTGGAGGTTATTTGAAAAAGGATGAAACTACAAGGGTGTAATTTACCCTACAAAGAGTTGAAATAACAATAAAACCCTAATGATCAACAATGATCTAACGAAGACTGAGCAATGCTGTAATACCTAAAGAGCTGTCATAACGACATGGACCAGCAGGAGTGAGGTTATTGCCTGAAGGAGAACCTGCCATATTTATAGAAAAAATATCAAAAAAATTTGCATGCCAAATTTGACAGGTAAAGGAAAGATGGTGAATATTAATTGACAGCGATCTAGTTGGCAACCAAAGTTTTGGTTAACCTAAATTTTCTCCAATATTTATCAAAACCATAAACATAGAAGCCTACTATACAAAGTTTGGAAGATAATATTCACCAATATTTGAGCCTGGGGTTTGAGTTCCAGATCTGTTACATTTTGTCAGCCTAGAGGATTTGCCTCCCTTCCCCATCTTTCCTGATACAGGTGTCTGGAAAGGACTATTAGCTGCTTCAGTGGATCCAGGAATCATCCTATCACCAGAATCAGCTTCAAAATCAACTGTTTCACTCTTCCGCTTCAATTGCTGAATTGTACAAATATAATAGTTGCTATCAATAGAAAAGATAATACACAGAAGAAGTTCAAATTGTAAGAATTACGTTTTCATAATTGACTCATACCATAATGGACAATCTATATATAGCTTCACATCATTGAAAAAGGTAATTGAAAAGTAATATTTACTTACAATATCCATAAATGGCAATTGACGACACAAGCATAACTCAATAATTGTAAAGATACCAATAGACCTTTGAAAAGAACAAGACGAAAAGGCAGCATTCCACAACATTTAAAAGAATTGGTAGGTCAATCCATCACAAAACTATGCACAATTCAACTTTGAACATGATCATTTTTCTAATATATTGTTAATTTGTGATCACTCAATTTGAAACCCTCAATTGAAAACACTTTTCTCGGAGCCCCAAAGACAGAAGCGCTAGGCACATGCACAAATTTATACAACTGCTTCCATCAGATAGTATGAAAGGCATCCGAAGGAAATGCAACATTGCTTCACTCAGAATTCCTAGCTGAGGAACATATGCATGGAGTGACTCATTTCTGGTCAAATATTTAGGAACATATGCATTTGGCAAAAGCTCCAAGGCCGATATTAGGTTGAGTACAAATTATTCAACTAAAAGATAACCAAAAAAATAATAATATAATAATCAGCCACTAGTTCCTCCATATATTTTCAATTTTTCTATGCACTAAATTTGAACAAAAGGACTTGTTTACTAAAACCCGAGTTATAATTTACCTCTAGTGTTACCTCCAAAACTAATTCAGCGACTAATTTCAACAAATTAATAAATCAGCAACTGATTAAAGCCTTAAATTGAACAGATCTCTAATTTTCTACATAATCATCGAGCACTGAACTAAAAACCCACTCTCAAAACTCAATAAAACTCAGCAGCAACCAAAATAAAAAATAAATAAATAAATAAAAATATCTAAAAAAATAAATAAAATAAAATAAAATTAGGAAATACTGACGGGAGTCTTAACGACGATTGCTTCGGCCTCTTGGTCAACATTTCGGCGGTGGTCGGTGGCGAAGCGATGATAATCTCCGGCAGCTACGAAGGGCGGTTTCATGGACGAGAACGGGAGTTGCCGTTTCATCGACTGCATGATCTGCTCCGGCGGGTTAGCCGACGCGGCGGCGGCGGCGGGGGAAGCTCGCGTGCCCGACATCCAACGGTCGGAGATCGAAGGTCGGAGCGGGATCGAGAGGGGTTGAGGGTTCGAGATTGATTGGAAAAGAGGAATTGGAAGAATCGGAAGAGGAAATGAGAGGGAAAAGGAGGAGATCTGGGTGTTTGGGAAGTGAGAAAATAAAAAAGCGGGAGAGAGAAAGAGAGCAGAAAACGAGGGAAAGAGAAGAGAGAAAGAGAGAGGTGAAGAAGGAGGGAATTTGGTTCGGATATAGATGTGGAGGGAAGAAGCACTTATACAATAATTCACAAATTAAATAATTACTATTTATTTCCCTAAAAAAAAAGAAACAACAAAATTTTATTATTTTTTTAATTTAAATTTTAAATAAAAAATTTTATTTTATGTGTATCTCTCCCTTTAAATGACATAATTTTATATCATTTAAAATGACAAACATTTTTTTCTATTATATTATTTTGTAATTTTTTTTTCGATAAATAATATTTGTCGTTTTAAATGACTTAGAAAGTATTAGTTTAGGTGAAAGAAAGAGATAGACAATATAAATGATGAAAAAAGTAATAATTTTTTTATTAATTTAAATTTAAAATAAAATATATTAATTTTAACTAAAAAAATTGTGCTTTAAAAAACAAATATTAAATAAAATATATTAATTTTAACTAAAAAAATCGTGCTTTAAAAAATAAATATATTTTTATTATTTTATATTTATTTCTTGAATTCTCATTTTATTATAAGGAAAAAACAATTAATACACCGAAGTTTGCCTCTTACTTAAACCGCTTGTATTCGGTTAAGGTTCCGCGCGAATCACATGTATAATAGTCTTTCAAACTTCTCCTACATTTTGTTACATAAGCCACCACCTACTAAAATTCAACCAAATTATTTTTTTATTGGAGATTGTTAAATACAAAATTTTATTTAAAAACAAATTTTATGATTTTTATTTATTTTTATTATTTGATTACAAAGTATATTGATTAATAAATTCAATTAAAATTATTGTGTTGATTTTTTAATAAAAAATAATAAAATATAAACACTCCCGTCTGTTTTTTATTTTTTCATCAACTGTCATAAGAAAATTTGACAAGTTGTCGTAAGAAAAAATAGTATAATTAGTTTTCAAGTACAACTGCCAACAAGTGAAAATTCTCATAATATTTTTCATAAACACACATATACTATGACGAAAAGAGGAGTCTGTTATCAAAAAAACAAAAAAAAAGTCTATGGCAGCCATAGAAATAGAGAGCAAGCTATCAACAAAGTCCGACACAGTTGATAGATAGTTGAATTCCTTAAACATGATGACAGGGATTTGATTCTTGGCTGTGTGTATAGAGAAGGCTTTGTTAGAAGAGGTTTATCCACTTACTGTGATCTTACACCTCGAAAGGATTAGTCTTCGACTGTCGGCGGGAGGATACCATTTTTTCTACAGTTACTGCGGATAACTTATCTGCAATAAGCCTAATACGACATTATTTTGGGACGGAAATCATAGTATTTTTTGTAATTTTAATTTATTTCAGAGTTATTATAGTCTTTATAATTATAATTATTTAATTTTTCAATTTCAAAACGACGTTGTTTTGAGAATAAATGCAGATAACTTATCTGCAGTAATTGCAGAAACATTATTCTGTAAAATAATAATGTCATATTTTTTCCGTATTTTGTTAATTAAAAAATAAAGACGGTTCGAGTTGAAATGCGCATCATATATTAATATTAAAACCAATTATTAAGGTTGGCTTGTGTTGATGTTAAAAATTATTAAATGTTGGTACGTGTTTGTTCTGAATGAATAAAACCAATTATTAGCAATTTAAATTATTTTGACCCGTCGTACATGTCCAAATTCCTTTTTCTTGATAAATAATTGATTCCTGAATTTTGTTAGAGAAAAAGACTTTTTATATTGTTAGAAAAAAATTTCTCCTACCATCCTTATTCCGATATTTGTGTAAAATCTATTTTTTTTTAAGGTTAGCTCACTCTTTTCTCTCTTAGTTGGAAAGCTCCAACTTCTTATGCAAGTCAATTTTATTATTTATAAAATTGTTTGGATTTTCACAATCAACCTATTTAATTTTGTAAAAAGAGATGAATAGATATATCATGATAGTTTTCCTAAAAACTCATATCTTTTTGTTATATACTATGAATTAAAAATTACTATCTTAACCCAAGGTGTAGCTCAGATGGTAAGCAGAGTATAGCTTAAAGGTCGGCCTCCGGTGGCTGATAAAGTCATGAGTTTGATTCTTACGAGAAGCACTTTGAGGCCATGAAAATTGATGGTAAGCGGAGTATAGCTTAAAGGTCGGCCTCTGGTGGCTAATAAAGTCATAAGTTTGATTCCTACGAGAAGCACTTTGAGGTCATGAAAATCTTCTCGCTCCAAACCACGAAGGGATTAGTTTCATCCTACAGGGTGTAAACACCTTGAATTTACTAAAAAAAAAAAAGTTCACCAATACCCATGTGGTTTGTTTCAGAATCATCTATTCTCCTGTGATTTTTTTTGTATCACATATCGCCTGTACTTTGTAAAAAATAAAAAATCACAAGAGGCATAATTGATTTTGAAACAAACCACATGAGCGTTGATGAACTTTTCCCCAAAAAAATATTATATTTTTATATATTATTTTAAGCCAAACAATAACCATACTGGAACATACAATGTGACTAAAATAAGATCTAACAACAATAAAAATTAAATTATTGCAACATATTTTAAGCAGTCAAGTGTTTTCTCATATACTCACTATTATTATCTAAGCATATAATCTTCTGATTAGAGTTTGTTACAAATCTTGAATTAGAGGAAAAAATCATGATTTTGAAGTACAAAGTTGCTTAGCTTCAATCAATTTCAAGAAGTACATGCCCTTAAAAAGGGTAATCTATTAACTCCTATAAACTAATCCGCTTCAGTCTCTATCAATCTCAAGTTATTCACTCATGTCATATAGCAGTGTTAATAACAAATAGCTAATTATTCAAGTGATTAAAGACATGTACTCGTCTTACCCAAAAAAATAAAACAAAAAAGTTAAAGACAGCACCTAACATTTCTCTCCTATGAAGCAACAAAAGATAATGGGAACACAACTCATTTTGAGGACATTTCAAAATGCTAGCATAAGACAAAATGAAACAAGCATAAAAGCACAATAAAAGTTGACCTCATTCCCTGCAGAGCCCCTTTTTAACATTTTTCAAAACAACACAAAAAAACACCCCTAACAACGATTTTGATCCTTCACTTGGGCACCACTCCATTGAGGCCTCAATGAATTGTTAGTAGAAACAGTCCTCCATGAATTTACATTATTAGAACCCTGCTGAAGTCTACCTCTTCCCCTACCAAAAGGCATAGTTTCAGATTGTGAACCTTGATGATAAGAACCATTGTTATATGATTGAAACTGAGATCTTCCATTAGGCCTAGACATATGATTAGACTCTGATATTCTTAATTGCCTAAAGTTATCCATAAAGTTCTGTGATCTTGTGTCTCTCATTGCATTGACATTATAAGATCCTGCATCCATAGGTTGTTTATGAAAAGGAGACAATGATGATATTTTCTCATTTTCCATGGTATCAATCCTTTTCATGTTGAAATCATTGCTTGGCTTCCCTCTACCTGAACTCCAACCAACACCAACACCTTTGTGAAGGACTTCAGGAGAAACATTTGATGAGAAGCTTCTTGTATGTTGAATAGTTTCATTAGAGGGAAACTTTGAAGTTCTGCTATCACTGTTTGCATTCCTCCACTTGTCATGAATCCGCATCCTGAATTTTCAAGTTGGTCAATTACAGAATTATATGTAACAAAGTAAAAGGAAGGAAGAGCAAAATTGCCATACCTATCAAAATGACTTTGATTCTGAACTTCATGCCAGAGTTCTGTTTCCATTATGTCATCTTCAAAGATCGTCTGTAGAAAATGCATTTGGAATGATTTTCAAGCCACAAAAGACATTTTTCAACATCAAGGTTCTCCTTGAGTAACTATTATTCTTTTGTGTAATCCATGATAGAAAAATGGAACGATGCTAAAGAGATTTAACATAACTAGATTTTACCTTTGTTGGAAGGTTTAAACCTGAAAGTAAACCAGGAATACGATTACTATGTACAGGCAGCTCATAATGGACGCATCTGCAACATAAAACGATATCAAAACAATACAAAATTTTCTAAAGCTGAATGCTAATTATAAAAATGAAAACCATAATTTTTTATAGCATACAAGACACGATCTTCTTGAATGTTGTCATGAATATCCATCCCTGAGCAAGGCTCCTCCACATACTCATGGCAAAGACTTATGGTACCCCCAATGCCATCACTGCTAAGAGTATGAGAAATTAAGAATAAATAACAATCAAAACACTAAATCATACATTATTTCTAACACTATATAGAGACTACAAGATTGTTGCTGGCTATAATAGTAGAAGCAGGAAAAGCATAAAGAGAATGAGACAGGATACAAGCATTATTAACTTCAACAATCCATAACCATTGACCAACCTTATGCTCGTATCTAACTTGAAAGATGGGTTGGGCTGTAGAGAAAGGGAAGAAATTTTCACTGCCAATTTGCTAGTGCTTCTCACAAACAAGCTATCAACTTTGATTGAATTTCTAGTTGCTTCATTTTCCTGAAAAACAATACTTGAATTTTAAAGTACATTCGCAAAACATTGACAATTTAAGTTTTCAAAATATATGTGTGCTGTGGTATACTAAGAAAAATAAGTGATTCATACAGATAATTCCTTCTTGAGTTCTCTGGTTTCAGCCAAAAGCCTTCTTTCATCTATCCATGGGAGTTTACAAATACCCTTATGAAACACAGCATTAGTTTCCGTTAGTATATAATGGACTGCATGAATAACAAAAATCATGATGATTATTAGAAGGGGCTTGAGTGAGATAACCTGCCAAGAGAAGCGCTTTCCTTCTTTGTCAACTTCAAAATCTACAAAACCAAAAAGAGAATAAAAATAAGAACTAGAAAACAAATTCAAAATAGGAAGAAAAAAAAAAACTTCAAAATCAGCTTACCAAGAGGGTAGAAATCTAATATTCTGGAGTGGTCATCCAGCATCAACTGTGCATAAGCATTTGGAAGTGCATGAGCACTGCATTGGAACAAAACCAGATAATTTTATCATGGTAAAGGAAATCTTTAAAAAAATTCAATTTCAAGGTATCTAATGGTATGTAAGATAGGAAACATAAATTACCTCCTTGGGGGTAGAACACTTAAGAGTTGATCAAAAGGTAAGAATGGGACACCTTTCTCAAAATTTAATCTCACCTGACCCATGCCCTTTATGTCCGAAGCAAATGGACCATAGTGGTAAGGATAAAACCTATATTTTGAAGTATTTAGTTCTCATTTTCCATACATAAAAGCATAACAAACATAAGAAATCAAGTTACATGTTTTAACCATATTGGCTTACCATGTCCACGAAGCAACTCCTGAAAAATAGTATTGAAGAACCCACAACAACCCCTCAGTGTACTTCTGGACCTACAATTAAATAGCAATGTATAATCACCACTATTGAATGTTATTTAAAAAAAGGCACAGCTACCTAACATAGGAGTAAAAAGAACAAAACCCAATATCAAATCATTGGCAAAAGTTTTGGGGAACCACATACTATTTCTTTCCTTTTGCACTCAAGGTTAGTGGGGCCTTCCACGGAAAACTTCTCTTTATAATACCTTTCTTTGTAACCAGGAGTTCCCAATTTTATCTGAAACGAATGGTAACAGCACTCACAAAGCATCATTGAATTATATAATAAGCATGCTTTATATCCATTGATAAGAGAACTAAGTCAAACAAAAAATCAACTAAGAAAGAATTAAAAAGGCCTTTTGGTAAAAGATAGATACCTTGTCAGATTGGAAGTCTCCACTCTTAAACAAATCACATTTATCTCTAATGCATTTGTTTAGTTCCTCTTTTAACTCCTTTGTGTTACGCAATATCTAGTAATGATGAGCAAAAAGATAGTCAACAATTCAAAATTAAACTCCATTTATAAATGCTGGGATAAATTATCATCAATATGACAAAAAAAAATATATAAATGAAGACAAATTAAATTCTTGACTGACAAAGCATCCACAACTTACTTCAGCAGATGCAACTGGAACATTAGTAACCAAGAAACCAGGTGATTTTTCGGAATTCATGGCCTTCTTGATGAGAAGAGCAGAATCAGAACTACTTTGATTGTCAAGATCAGAGTAACAAACTGAATTCTGTTCTTCCTGCTTCTGGATAGGAATAATAGAATCAAATGAGTCCAACTTAAACTGTAAAATGTGAATGCTTATGTCCATTATTCAAATATATTTCAACTTACAGCATCCTCATAATTCCTAAGAAGCCTTCTCAATTTCCGCTCTCTTATTTCAGATCTTTTCTTAAAGATTTTCTCTTCATATGTACCAACCATAAGTATAAACTTTTCAACTCTTGATAACTTAACAAAAGCTGCTTTCTTCTCTCCAACCTGCTCTCAAAAATTAGCTACAAATGTGTACTCATAAAATATATTTCAAATTAATGGAATTTAAGAGGGAAAAAGAAAAACATGTAAAAGGAATGAGACAGTAATAATGTTACCCTGCTGATATCCACTAGATATCCTCCAAGTTTAGGGAATTGTTTCTTGTAAACAGTAATCAATAAATCAATAGCTCTCTGACAAGATTAAAGCCAAATTAATGAAAGTTCGCTGACCAAGTATTTATTATTTTATATTCACCATATCTAACAAAAAAATATCTATAGAAACCTCGTGAATATCCAAAGATGGCATGTGGGGCAGAAAATCATTTCCAGCAAAAAAGCACATGAAGATGAAATCATCAATTATCCTCTCAAAATCAATGTTGAAATTTTTGGGAGGATCTTCTATCTTCATGTCTATCTCTAGATATTCCCTCAACAACCAAATATGCAAAAACTGCAGACAGTTACAACCATTAGACTCATTAAGTCATTATAACAACAGCAAAGTTGTAGAATGTAAAACATTTATTATACTTGGAAAGGCTTAGCAGCAATTTGTGGCTTCTGCTCCTGATTAAGGACATCCTGTACTCAAAGTAAGAAATTAATTGTGACAATACAACATATGTAATCAAAGCTAAGAATTTATTGATAGGAATCTTGTCAAAACCACCTCTCTCAATATTGAAAAATAAGGCTCATGTGTTGCCATTCCAAGCATTATAAGATCAGCATCCTACATTTCAAAATCAAAAGATTAAGCTTCAACATATGGAAATCATAAGAAATAAGCACTCTATCAAAAAAAAAAAAAAAAAAATCTTTTAACTACTGTTTTTGTACCAAGCCATATAAGCAGTGGCTTGTGTTTGGATCATATTCAGGAAAACTACGCTGTTTGCGTATGTATGAGATAATCTTGTGTTCCCCTTCTCCAGGAACATTAGCATCAGATAGAATTACCTACGTTCAAATTATCAAAGTAAAGAAGGAAACATTTAATTTGTTACAAAATGACAATAATAAAAAATCAACTAGCATATTAATAACAGAGTGAATAAAGCGTATTATTTTCCAAAAACAAGATTATGTATTCGAACCATAATATCCCTCCATAATGAATCACAGGTTATCCTTAAAGAGATATAGCTTTTAAGGGCCTCTGAGAGTTTATGCATGAACTCAGTGCCTGGTGTTATGATATTAGAATCAGACACTTCAGATTCTTGTTTTGGAAGAACTTGTTTGCCTTCCATTTCATAATGTTTCCGAAGCCTCTCTTCCTCAGCTTCCTATAAATCCAAAAGAAAAAAAACACAAAAACTAAGCCTTATATAGTGATGATGATGAAGACACGATGAATATTACTAAGACATTGGTTATGATTAAAAACTCACACGTATATCATTGTCCTTTGCTGTTCGGAAACGTCTTGTTCTTTGTTGGTTCATTTTAGCCCGTGGGGCTACTCCATCTATGCATGAGAAACACAGAGCCTCCTTAGTTGAACTATACTTTAAAATTAACAAACAATAGCCATAGCTCAAAAAATAAAAAGTATATCACTATGAAATGGTTTAATGATGAGTTATTGAAGGTTTTCTTGTCTCACCAATAGCTAAGTACAATAGCTTTCGAGGCCTAACAATGCTAACTAGCCTATCAATGTAGTCAAAGATGTTCCTGAACACATCTTCGAACGTTGTTGGCTGTGAACTCTGAATGACATAAAAAATTTAGTGGTTAGTATACACGAATTTAAGAAGTTTATATATATAGAAGGAAGCATTAAAACTGTAAGCAAGAGAGAGAGAGTAACGAACGTTGAGATCCTCAGGGTGAAAACATGGGTGGATGATTCCATTCATGTCAAGATACAAGTTATCAAACCCAACGAAATCTGGGTTTGAAATTGCTATATCCACGTTTTCTACCGCCCTTGGATATTTTTCAATCAACCATCTATAAAACGAAGGAACACCCATAGCTGAATGTGTTTCTCAGCTTCTTTCTGGTGTAGAACTTAAATAGACACAAAAAGAAAGAAAAAAATGAAAAAGGAAAAGTTGAAATACCCTTGTCGTTTGCCTTTATTCACTTACTTTATTCTTTTTATTTTATCATTTATAATTGGAAGAAACGTGTGTCGTTTTAAAGGAATAAATATGTGTCATTTTAAAGAAGGTAAAATTATGTCATACGAGAAAGAAATACATAAAGAAAGAAAGAGTAGATCAAAAAAAACTAAAGATATGAAATTGTGAGAATAAAATGACAGAAAATATATCATTTAAAAAAACACATTTTTTTCTTCATGCTACTTTTTTCTAACAAAGTTGCTTCAGAACGATATTAGATTTTGTAATAAATATATCTATTTTATCTTTCTTATATAAAAAAATTTACAAGCTTTGTAAGGATTTTATTTTAGGAGAGATTATATTTATTATTATTTTTTAATACTAAATTTTAATAGTAAATTTTTGTTAATATAACGGTTATAATTTATTGAGTCACATTTATTAAGTAATTATTAATTCTCAATAAATTATAACCGTTAAATTACACAAAATTAACAGTTAAAATTTAATAGTAAAATATAATAAGAAAAAAAAGTAAATATAATCTCCCTTTTTATTATATAAAATATTTTCAGTATTAAACAAAATTTATGAACAAAATAGCTTAAATGTATTTTTAAAAGAAGAATAAAATAAACATGTCAATTAAAAATCCTAACACAATTAAGAAGAGACTTCAATAGAAAAAATATAAAAGGTAAATAATAAGAAAATTACAAGGATGTGGGCGTTTAGTAGGCTATTTGACCATTTTGCCCCTCATTAATTAATTAATAATCACTTTGCCACTGATTCGAAACTATCTACCAATCTGCCCCTCTTTAATCGACTAACTTGAATTTTTAATCGACTAAATGGTTGTTGGGAGATTTAATCGACTAAATCTCTCTACTTAATCGATTAAAAAATCATATTAACTTGTTTTCTTTTGTTGTCTATCGAGAGATTTAGTCGATTAAATAAGGAGATTTAGTCTATTAAATCTCCCAACAACCATTTTTGTCTGTTTTGATCATTTAATCGACTAAAAATGCAAGGTAGTCGATTAAAGAAAGACAGATTGGTAGATAATTTCGAATCAGGAGCAAAATAGTTATTAATTAATTAATAAGAGGCAAAAAGATGAAAAAACCGCGTTTAGTAGCCAATTTTTTTTTTTTTTTGAATTCTTTGGGAGAATTAGAATGTCATGTTTGGTAATAAAAAATACAAAACTTTTTCGGATAAAATATTTGCCCGATTTTGTGTTATGTGTAAATTGTTGCACGCCTACCAATTTTGAAAGTGTATGAATTAGGTGGTATAGGTTTTTGCTAGGGGAAGGAAAAAAGTAACCGAAATAATGTGAACCAAATTAAGTCTGGTTTTTTTGTGTACTATTTGTATGTGCAAATGTACTTCATGAAATGACAGCAAGCTCCTACTACTGTAAAGATGGGATTATTTTATAAAGGGAAATAATACGCCACATAGATTACATCATTTTTCTACACAAATTTATTTTTTGTGCTAATTAATTTTTTTCTTTTTTAATATAAAATATGGGACCTACATTTAACTTCTTTTTACTTTTTTTCTCTCCTACAATCTTACAACATAAGAAAATTTAAACCCTTTTATAAAAATAACTTCACATTTCAACTACTATTTCACAATCAACCAAACATCATCTCAATAAACTTAATTAAATATTTTCAGGACAAATTTTGGTCAATCATGCACAATTTTGTAACTTATCCGGGAAAAATATTTCTCACCACATTCCGACAAAATTATTTTTTCTGTAAAAAATTTTTTGTCAGGTACCAAACATCCCCAAGTGATTCAAAAACAACTATTAAGATGTATTTGAACTTTTCAAAAAAAAAATAATAATAATAAAAGAAGAGGAAGGTTATACTTACAACTTATTTTTGTTTACAATATTTTACAATCATAATCTTAACCGTTGATTTCCGTCTATCAACGATTATTGTTTATTGTGAATTAATAATTAATTAATAAATTTAATTTACGAAAATAATAATCGTTGATTGACGAAAATCAACGGTTAAGATTATGGTTATAAAAGATGGTAAATAAAAATAGGTCGTAAATATAACATTCCTCGTAAAAAGAAAAGAAAAAGAAAATAAAAAAAATGTACGTTCAGTTCAGGAATCGATTTTTCATTCTCGAGAATATGATATACCTATGTTATGCCTTCGAACATTAATAAAAATACATATATGCAGAATAAAAGAATAAGAGTCTATTTGGATCCTTTTATTTTTAAGTTAGAAGTTATTTATAAGTTAAAGCTAAAAAAAGAGCTTAAAAAAAGAAGCTAAAAGCTGTTTGGAAATTACATAAAAACTTTAGCTTAAAAATTATTTAAAAACACATATTTCAAGAAAATTATCTCTCTCTATCTTTATCACTCTTCATTTAAAAAAACACACAATTCAAGAAAAACAGATAAGAGCTTAAAAAAAAGCTCTTTTCTTCATTATAAAAGTTTTTAGTTTTCAGCTTTTTTCTTCATTATTAAAAAAAGAGTTTTTCGTTATAAAAGTTTTTCCCAAAACCTGTTTGGCCTAGCTTATGCTTATAAAGAGCTTCTAGCTTAAAAAAAAAGAGAATCCAAACAGGCACTAAATGGCTCAGGAATTTACTATTTGGTTCGTCATTAAATATTTTTTTTCCTTTACCGGAAAAAATGTCGTAATAATAATTTTCTAATTTTTTTAGTTTTACCGAAAAAGAATTACTAAGATTTTGTTCAGTCACAGAAACATAAATATGTGTAACAAAAACAAACAGAGAAAATCAAGAATCATGTTGTTGGAAGAATTTGTTTTCCCGCTCTCCCTTCAAAAGTAGCGTCGCATGTTTTTTTTTATTTTTCTCTTATGTGGGATCCACACTTGACTGTGTCTGTTGGAAGTAAAATACTTCTTCTTGCAACATAACGTTCCATTCTCCCAAACATAAAACCATTCCGTTACTCACCTTTTTTTTTAACCAACAACAAAATCTAACAAGATAAATTATTAAGAAATATAAAAAAGATTTTATAATTCTCAAATTCCATAAGAATTGAAATTTTATATTATAGAGACCAAAAGTATGTCAGACCCATATATTAAAAAAATTTATATATATGACCTACGTCAACACAAAAATTAAAGGATGTGTAAAAATATTTCAATTCTTAATGAAAATTATAAAATTCATATAAAAAATGGGAAAAACACTTCTCAATAACATGAGAAGTGTTTTTTCATGTTGTGATCCTTCAATTCAGATATAAATTTTATTATTATTTTTTTAATAAATATGAAACTCTCCACTAATTAAATCACAACATAAAAAAAACAATTATAATGAAAAATCAAAACCCAAAAAAAAAACACCTACGTTGCAGTAAATCGAGAAAATGAAGAGACATTTGAAAATGGGCAATGTTAACCTTATGTAATAGAAATTTTTTTTATTTTATATTCATACATCGATACTTGTGTTATTTTTTTATTTTTTATTTTTTTTTACTGAACCTCACTTTAAATTAAGTGTGCAGGATACAACAAAATTTTGATACCCCGTGAGACTACAATTACCCTTTGAAAATAGGGTTATGTTTATCTCATTTTACATGAGATAAATATCTTTCCTACACACACACAAAAAGGGTTAGGTCCCACCACTTTTTTTTTTTCTCTCCTCTTACATGTGGGTCCCACTTATACTTTTATTTCTACAACATAAGATAATTCTTTTCTTACAACATAAGAAAAATATATCCCTTGAAAATATACCAAGAGTCGTCATCATTAAAGTTACAATTTGCGAGACGATATGGCGACTTAGTAATGATTATTGAAGATGTGGCTGACACTAGCTAGCTGTTTAGTGTTTCACTTTCTATATTAATGCACTCTCTCTTTTTCCCATTATCGGGTAATGTTACATCACAATCCATAAAGATGTTAATAAAACCCTAAAAAAAAGCAGCAAAAGGTGTGGGGGGAAAATATATATATTTCAGTGAGAGTTTTGCATTTGATTATTAATATTTTAAGCATTCATTTTTCTGCTACGTTTATTGTCTCGAGCAGTTACAGCATTCATTTCTCTGCTACATATTGTCTCGAGCCTTACAAAGCTATTGCATTTTAAGCGTGATATTAGTTCCACGTGTATATATATATATATATAGAGGTAGGATCCTTTGATACTGGTGTCAAATTTGAAGTTTGACACCTCATCTGAGAGCCGTTAGATCAAAAAAGATCAATGATGGCACATGCATACAAATCAGAGTCATTTATCTTTTTTGATCTAACGGCTCTCAGATAAGGTGTCAAACTTCAAATTTGACACCGGTGTCAAAGGATCCTACCTCTATATATGATCCTTTGACACCGGTGTCAAATTTGAAGTGTGACACCTCATCTGAGAGCTGTTAGATCAAAAAAGATCAACGACTCTTATTTGTAAGCATGTGACACCGTTGATCTTTTTTGATCTAAAGGCTCTCAGACGAGGTGTCAAAATTCAAATTTGACCGGTGTCAAAGGATCCTACCTTATATATATATATATATATATATATAACTTTATATTATAATTATATAATACTAATAATTTTATATTTGGTCCTGTCAAATATATTTTTCAATTAACATATTTAAGTTAAATAAAATTTTAAAATAACTTTAAAAAAATTGCAGTATATCTTATATAAGATAAAAATCAATAATAAAAATTATACAATAATAATATGAGTCTTTATATATCTAAAGATTCTAAACTAAGCTAACAAGACTTAATGTTCAACACCACTGATGACTTAACAAGTCAGTTTTTTAAAAAATATATATATAAGTGAAAATTAAACACATAATTTAATATAATCTATTTAAATTTGTAAAC